TGTGGTATACCATCAACAAGTTACAGCATTTGTTTTACAGCAACGTGTCTTTACAGTAACTGGTCATATCAGTCAATGTTATCTAGTTAATCACAGATTGGAGCGACACGAGTTAGTTTGACATGCGAGGCCAAACACTGAGATTTCGTTCAGGCAAAACATATTTAATGTGTGTTTTAATGAAGGAACTTATCAAAGGGTTTAAGCTTAGATAACCAGTGGCTATCTGTGTTTATATATGGGTTTTAAAATCTTGTTGTACTGGAAAAGAAAAGGGATATTCAAAGCCATGAATCCAAAGGTTGTTGCAGCATTTTAGTAAAAACATTACAAACATTACAGAATACATTCAAGGCTGTAAGATCTAGTATTCAGCAACTATAGGAACTTTATTGACACAAATATGCACATGCATTAAAAAATACATAAATGTATATACCAGACACATTTCTTTAACAACAGATGTATCAGTTGTTTATTGCAAGCACAGCTAATCCTGAGGTTCAACAGGGTTGTCACAGTAGTCAGTCCACAGTGTGTCTGCCTTAAACAACAAAGATTTTCATTTTTACATCCATCACATTTGACCAATGTAAGCTTTACAAAATGACTTTTTCTGTCCCTTCATGAACAGCTTTACTTCACAGTTCACTTAGTGATGATAAGTAACTGCATGACATAAAGTTGCTGTAGATATTCAGTGGACTCTAAGGTGCTGTTAAGCGGTAATGTTAGAACAACATGTTTTCATAGAAGTTATAAATGTAGACAAATAGTGTTGCAACACATTTACATAGTGCACCAGTTAAAGTTATATTACTCTGCTGGAAGATGGACTTTGAGCAACTTTATAAAAGTATGAAAGTGCCTTCAACAACTGAAGTTCTAAACAGACATTGAACATTGCCAACATAACATTTAGTGTAACCACTACTACATGACAGTTACCACGTCTGTCATTATGTCTTTGTAGGTGACAGTCAGAGACAAAACATAAGCAAAAGAAGCTTTTCCAACATGTATATAATCATGTAATGGCTGAATGCTTCACATTCGATTCAAGATTTATTTACATAGGACCAAATCACAACAACAGTCTCTTTAAGGTGCTTTACTTTGTAAGAAAACCCTATCAATAAAATGGCCTAAAAGTACCAAGCGCCTGGCAGTGAGAAGCAAAAACTGCCTTTAAACAGGTAGAAACCTCTGGCAGAACAAGCTCTGACAAAGGGTAAAGGGAGACCGAGACAGTACAAATACTGCAGATAAAATAAGAATTGAATGCACATGAAACAAGAGACCGTTAATGCATACAGGCAGGAAAGACACACAATGACAGATGGACTTCACACGGGAGACAAAAGACAAAGACGAGGAGAGCGTTGGCAAAAAAGGGAACTAACATAATCAACAAAGGAACCAAGGACCAAAACCTGGCTTTTCTAGCTGCTTATTTTAGGATTGTATTTAAACATAGATCCTTGGTACTTACTGTTTTTATAATGTTTAAGATTTATATCTTAGATATTTTTAGTAAATATAAGGATATATAAGGATTTACAAAATGCATGTAATATTGACAAATTTCAGTGTTGTTTGAGATTAATAAGATCTCATAAATTGCAAACATGTTAAATACCGGTTTAGGAGATATAATAGTGGAAATTAGTATTCAAATTGCATAATTATGTTGGTTTAACATTAGGTAGCTAAATACAGTGGTGTCAAATAAACATGAATGTTAAAACACGTGCATGTTTTTCATGCTAATACAACTGGGTTTTTTTTCAGTGCAGCTCTACATGCAACATGAGGAAATTCATGTCTGAACTCATTTTCTCCACAGCAGAATGCCCAGCAAACGTCAACAGTTGATGCTTATTATAGTTTTCTTGTGATTTGTTGTGATCATGTGTTTTCATCTTCTTA